TTTCCTGCCTGGGCTGGCTTTGAACCGCGATCCTCAGATCTCAGCTTCCTGAGTAGCTAGGATTACAGGCGTGAGCCTGTATGAATTTTCCTGCCCAGGCTGGTTTTGAACTGCAGATCTCAGCTTCTAAGTAACTAGGATAAAAGATGTGGGTTGGGAAAGTGGCTCAGTGGTAGAGTGCTTGCCTTGCATGCATGAGGCCCTGGGTTCAATTCCTCAGCACCACATAAACAGAAAAAGCCGGAAGTGGCCCTGTGGCTCCAGTGGTAGAGCACTAGCCTTGAGCTGAAGAGCTGAGGGACAGTGCTCAGGCCCAGAGTTCAGGCCCCATGACCGGCAAAAAAAAAAAAAAAAAGATGTGAGCCAAGGGCTGGGAATGTGACTTGGTGTTACAATGCTTGCCTAGCATGCATGAAGCCCTGGGTTTGATCCCTCAGTACCACATACACAGAAAAAGCTGGAAGTGGCACTGTGGCTCAAGTGATAGAGTGCTAGCCTTGAGCAAAAGAAGTTCATGGAAGCTGGGCACCGGTGGCTCACACCTGTAATCCTAACTACTCAGGAAACTGAGATCTGAGGATCATGGTTCAAAGCCAGCCCATGCAAGAAAGTCCATGAAACTCTTATCTCCAATTAACCACCAGAAAGCTGGAAGTGGTGCTGTGGTTCAGGTAGCACCTTGAGCTGAGGGACAGGGCTCAGGCCCAGAATTCAAGCCTCAAGACCAAAAGAATTATTATTATTATTATTATTTCAGGGACAGTGCCCAGGCCCTGAGATCCAACCCCAGGACTGGCAAAAAAATAAAATAAAGATGTGAGCCACCACTGCTCATTTGGTTAAATGACTTTTTTATTCTTTTCTTTTTTTGCCTGTCTTGAGTTCGAACTCTGGACTTGGGCTCTGTCCCTGAGCTCCTTTTGCTCAAGGCTAGCACTCTACCACTTGAGCCATAGTGTTACTTCCAGCAGCTTTTTCTATCATTAATTTGGAGATAAGAGTCCCACGGACTTTCCTGACAGGCTGGCTTCAAACTGCAATCCTCAGATCTGGGCCTTCTTAGTATCTAGGATTGTAGGCATGAGCCACCTGTGCCCAGCTTAAGTGACTTTTAGTATAAAATTCCAGGGCTGGAAATGCTTAGTGATGGAGCATTCACATAACATGCTCCAGGTCCTGGGTTCAATCTCCAGCATCACCAAAAGGAAAAAAAAATAATTTCACTGCTCAGTCCCCAAGCAGTTCCTACACTTTAGGAGGTCCCCAGGGACACCTTCAGGCCACCCTCCCCCCCCTGCTTTGCAGGGCATCTTGCTCACTGTGACAAGTCTGTCTGCTTAGGTGCAGTCCAAGAAGCCATTGTTGCCAGAAAGGAGACCAGCCTCCAAGCGGGGTCGCATGCCACCTCCACCATCATTGGATGGCGGTTCAGCACACCGAAGCCGCCGCCTCGACCCTACATGCCCTCAGGCCTTTGGTGGCTTCCTGGATTTCCTGACTGAGGGCCAGATACTGGACAGCCTGCAGTTAGTGGTGGAACAGGCAACAGAGCGTATGGCTGCCATGAAGACAAACACTGGGGTGCCATTGGTGGAGGTGCAGGACCCTGTGGAAGCGCCGACTCCTGTGCAGCGACCCAGGACCCGACCAAGTTTCAGCACTGTGCACAAGCACCGTGCTCAACCCACCCTCTGCACTGGATACCTCAACAATTACCCATCCTGCTCCAGCTCCGTGTCTGATTCCCGTAACAGCCTCAAAGCTGGCTGGCTGGGCTTCCGAGACGGTGACTTGGATGGTCAAGGCTTGGGCTCACTGCCACCAGTAAAGGACAAACTCCTGCTGGAGAAAAGCCTCAAGAGATTGCAGCGACTGGAGAACAAAGGGGTAAGATCTGGGCCCACAGCTGGGGTGAGTTGGGGGTGGACCCAAGCCTAGGGCTTGGGTCAAGCCTGGCTTACATGCTCCAGAATGCCTTTTAGAATCCCTGTCTCTCTTGCAGAGATGTATGAATCAACGCTACTCCCAGAGGGACTCCCTGCTGTGGAACCCACCTACCCACAGCCAATGGAGGGGGCAGCCCCTGCCCTGGTTCTCAGAGCTGCTGGGCTCCAGAGCAGACACCTCTGGGGCATCAGACATGGGATCTGAATCTCCCAAACGAGAATTCAAGAAGGAAATGAAGTCATTGCTGAGCCAGCCAGCATCCTTTGATCTGCCAGTCTACTGCCCGATCCGTGAACCTCATCATACTTTGGACTTCCTGGCCAAGCATCACCTCTTCCCAGCCTTGCAGAGTGTGGTCAGCCAGGCTGTGGAAAAGCTCAGCAGTGCCCATTGCCACAATGGCATCCCTCTCTTCCATGGGAACTTGGAGCCCAGTCCAAGGCTCCCAGTTACCAGTCTGCTGCAGGCAGACTCTAAGATGGCTGTACCCACCAACAAAGAGGAGGTTGATTCCTTTCCCACCAGAACCTCCAGCCCCAAGACACCTCAAAGAAAAATCAAGACCAGACGGGTCTCCCCCGTATCTCCTGCCCACCAGATGGTCAGCAGATTCAGGCCCAAGGTGACACCCACAGAAGAGCCCAATGTCCCCAGGCCCTTGCCCTACCCCATGCAGGGGACACCTAATTCAGACCTCAAATTACTCAAATAACCTGTGGTCCTGAACTCCAGACAGGGTTGTCTCAGGGGCCCTGTCCATCATCACTTGCCTTCTCCTGCTTGCCCCCTACCTTTTCTCCATATTCTTTCCACTCTCCTCAGTGAGGAATGTCTCCCATTCTCTCCAAGATTTCCCCATTCCCCTCTTTGGAAAGAAGCATCTCTCCTTCTCCCCATGTTTTTCATCCTTCCCATGTTTTCCCCACTCTCCCATGAATAAGGACCATCTCCTCTTCTCCCCTTATTATTTTTGGTCCTTGCCCTTTGTCTCCCCTTCACCCACTTCACTGTCCACTATAGGGCTATGAGTCTTGGGGAAACATTTGTCAGGGTAGTGCTGTTTCATCCAACACTCCTAGCAGATACTGTTACTGGCCAAAGTCAAAATCTCCTGGCCTGCACTCTGGAAACTTTGGATAAAGTACAAGCTGCTTGGGTATTAGGAATCCTGGCCTAACTACTATCAAGTATTGTCAAAGACAAATAAAGGCTCTTCTTTTTCTTCTTCTTTTAAAAAACATCCTGGTTATTTTTTAACATCTGTTTGTGAATCTTGGAGGTCCTCCCACATGGAGAGGGTCCGGTCCCTCTTGAACAACAGCCATTGTCCAAGGCAGGATCTAAGATCCTGTATCGTAGAGTCTAGCTGATATATTTACCCTACTGAGGGAACATTGCTCAGGAAGGGTATGTGGAAGATGGAGGTTGTTTCACCCTGGTTGATCCCCAGCATTCCCCCAGTTCTGCCTTCATTTAGCAGAGTCTAGGTGTGCTTCCCTCTGAACAAGAGGTCTGGCATGAGCTTGACAGTCTATCAAAATTAACGTTTATTGACACTGACTGAGGCCACTGGCCTTGCCCCAGGCCCAACGGGAAAGGCAGAGGAAGTAAGAGAGTTGGCAGTTGAATGTGACAGCATGGCAGATGTGGCAGAGCTGTTTTCTTAGTGTGGCAAGTATGGATTGTGTGTTTGTGATGGGCAAGGCTGTTGGGGGAGGGGCTGTAAAGGAGGGTGCTGTGATGTGATGGGTGTCACAGGACAGCAAGAAGAGCATGGCTCACAAGGGATGACATGTCTCATTTTTCCATTCTTTGATTGCTGTGCAGAGCACCAGCAGCAGGTTCTTAAAGAAGAAACCACTGCCCTCCATCTCGTCCGAGCCAAGCATAGCCAACCCTTGGCAAGAGGAACTCACCGATCTTTTGACTGAACAAGCTGTATCCTTGCTCATCTATAAGTACAAATTTGAGGACAGTCTCAACAAGCAACTTGGCTTCATCTCCTTTCCTGTCACTGAGACTTTCATGGATATCCTCCTGGGCTTCAAGAAGGTGAAGGATTCCCACATCTGCCTGTCCTCAAACATTGACTGGAAATGCCTGTTACGCAAACTGGAGGCAACTGAATTAGAACAGCAGGCCTTGAGGCAGGCCTCCAAGCAGTCCTCCAAGCAGGCCTCCAAGCAGTCCTCCAAGCAGACCTCGAAGCAGGCCTCCAAGCAGACCTCCAAGCAGACCTCAAAGCAGGCCTCAAAGCAGGTCTCGAAGCAGGCCTCCCAGATAACAGCTGACCTGCCTGACACCTCCGATGTTACTACTCAGCAGGAAACCACTGCAAGCAGCCCAGAGTCCATGCACCTGCTTGCTCCAGGCACTGAAAGCCAAGAACAGGTTGACAGTGAGTCCCACCTCTCCCTCCACGAATTCCCCATTTTCCAGCTGCTTAGTCCTCGGGGATCTGCTGAAGCTGAGGAGCATCTACCCATAAACTTGTCAGAGCTCAATGCCTCTGAGTTCTCCTTCATCAGCATGGACTCTAATGTCCCCAGGTCCCAGGAAGTGGTGAACATTGAGGACAGTAAAGACAGTGAAGAACAGAAGAACAAGATTGAGGATAAGGAAGAAGGAGCCCCTGAGGATGAGAATGAGTTCCATAGTCGCCCTGAGCATTCATTGGCCGCCCTGAGCGACACTGATCAGTACCTTGGATATGAGTCGCAGTAATCCCCCATGACATCCCTGCTGCTGCTGCTGCTCCATCAAAGTAGTTGCTCACTCAGCCGGCCCCTGCCCTGACTGGAGGTTAGGATGCATCGAATGTCCCCAAGGAGGTCTTTTGACACCCTCAGGGGAGCCAATGAGAGAGACAAAAATAAAATAGTCATTTTATTTAGCCATCTCAGTGTCCTTTTCCTTGAGCCAATGCCTCTTCCCTGTGTTAAGCACCTTCAGGTTGGGTTAATCTAGCTGCTGACCTTCAGGAAGCTAGTAGTATTCTGACCCTGACCTTTACATACTTTTCTTTGGAGCATTATAATTGTTTTGCTTTATTTTGTTTGTGCTTGTACCAGAGCTTGGATTCAAGGCCTGAGCACTGTCCCTTAACTTTTTCAGTCAAGAATGGCATTCTAGCCAGGCAACAGTGGCTCACACCTATAGTCCTAGCTACTCAGGAGACTGAGATCTGAGGATCACAATTCAAAGCCAGCCCAGACAGGAAAGTCCATGAGACTCTTATCTCCAGTTAACCACCAGAAAACTGGAAGTGGTGCTGTGGCTCAAGTGGTAGAGTGCCACCTTGAGCTGAAGAGCTGAGGGACAGTGCCCAGGCCCAGAGTTCAAGCCCCACAACCGACAAAAAAAAAAAAAAGGCACTCTACCACTTGAGATAGAGTGGTGAATTGGAGACAAGTCTCATGGGCTTTCCTGCCCTGGGCTTCAAACTGCAGATGTCAGCCTCCTGAGTAATTAGGATTATTACAAATGTAAACCACCGGGCACCCAGCTTGGAATTACTTTTTTCTTTCACATGGTCAAACTTTGCTACTTTCTACCACCTCTGCTGTGTGGCCCGCCCTTGCTCTGAAGGCCTTTTAGGCCCCCTTACTTATGGTCTTTGTGCCCTTGTACATCATGGCATAAATGTGTGTGTGTGTGTGTGTGTGTGTGTGTGTGTGTGTGTGTGTATTGGTACTGGGGTTTGAACTCAGCTCCTTGGCACTGTCCCTTAGTTTTGGGGTTTGTTGTTGATGGTTGTCATAGGTCTTGAACTTAGGGTCTAGGCACTGTCCCTGAGCTTTTCCACTCAAGTCTGGCACTCTACCACTTTGAGCCATAGCTCCACTTCCAGTTTTCTGTTGGCTAATTGGAGATAGAAATTTCATAATGGGCACTGGTATCTCATGCCTATAATCCTAGATATTCAGGAGGCTGGGATCTGAGGATCACAGTTCAAAGCCAGCCCAGGGAAGGAAAGACCGTGAAACTCCATTTCTAAAAACTGGAAGTGGCACTGTGGCTCAAGTGGTAGGCCGCTAGTCTTGAACTGAAGAGCTGAGAGACAGTGTTCAGACCCAGAGTTCAAGTCCCATGACCGACCAAAAAAAAAAAGTTTTATGGACTTTCCTGCCAGGCTGGCTTCAAATCACAATCCTCAGATCTCAGCCTCTGAGTGGCTAATATTATAGCTACCAGTGCCCAGCTTGTCCCTTAGTTTGTTTTCTTTTTTTTTTTCTTGTCAGTTGTGGGGCTTGAACTCAGGGCCTGGGCACTGTCCCTGAGCCTTTCTGTGCTCAAGACTGGAGTTCTACCACTTGAGCCACAGTGCCACTTCTGTTCTTCTTGTTTGTTT